CTGTTGTATTACAACCCCATTATGAGTCAACGCATTACGGTGACGTCAGGTGCTGCTGGAATGCTTTAGAGCGGTGGAACAAGCGTTCCTTTTAGGTAAGGATGTGTACCCCCCCCCCCTTGCTGTTCGCTTCTGAAAGGCCACCACCCGGCTGAGAGCACTTGAGAACTCGGGACTGGGGCCAAAAGGGGAAAGGCTGCTGGAAATGGGCCAGACTGTCATTCTCAGAGCTCCTACTCACGGGTTCCTATCGGGACCGTGAGCGGTTTTTTTTAGGGTGCTTTGTGGGCGGTGGGGGGTTGGATGGGTTGAGCGTTAATCAACTCGCATTTGGTCACAGTTCCCGGGTGACCCTTCTCCCTGGCAGACGAGACACAAAAACACCGCATTTTACATTCATTCAACCAATTGGTTTGGGGTTCCGCTTCACTTTTGACAAGGAAAACAATGACGCCGTCTTTTTTTTCCCACAGAACCACCGATGAAGTCAAATGTTTGATTGGCGACCGATTATCGCGGCAAAGACGTGATCGGAATGCCAAGCTCAGCGGACTGCCAAGTGATTCCCTCGCAAAAGTCCGGCTGGAAGTGTTTGCAAACTAAAAAAACAAAACAAAAATCCAGATAATTTCGGCATTCCCGTTTTAGTTCGCAAATTGCAAAGCGGGACACGGGCGGTGCTGCCGTGATCGCGGCGTGCCATCCGACGTTGCGCAACAGCCGTTCAAACGTTGTCGCTGGCGGTTAGCGAAGCAGCTGTCGAAATAAAACCGGGCGAACTCGACTTTAAATGAGCAAATTGGGAGCGCTTGGATCATTTCCACGGCCTGTTTTCAACAAACAGTCTGCCGGCGCAATGCTACTTCATTTCCAAAGTTTCCCTTTCCAATATGTATGTGAATTCTTTTTAGAATAACATAGACAAAGGAGGACATGTTTGGATGAAATATTGTTCTAAATTGGCAATTTTCCCACATTCAAACTTGATTTGACCTGCAGTAGGTGCACTGTTGCCGTTCCTCCCGGCTTGTTTTCTGCCATCCCGGCAAAACGTCACTCGCTCCGTCAATCAGAGTAGAAAACTTTGGAGCGTGTTCCCGCCTCGCGCATGGGGTGTCAAACATACGGCCCGCGGGCCGGAACCGGCCCCCAAGGAGGTTCAATCCGGCCTGCGGGATAATTTAAAAGTGAAAAAAAAATGCATTAAAGACACGGAATGAATATTTTAAATAAAATGCGATTCTGGGGCACACTGTTTTGATCACAGTAGAAGACAACATTGTTTTGATCGGGGAAGAAAACAGCAGTCTCAGTCTGTCACCGAGATAGACCCAACACAGCAAATGAGATGAAAGCGCCAATCAATGCTTCTTGAGACCAAAACAAAGGAAAGAGATGATATTTTGGTGATTCATAGCACAGTATGGTATAATGTTAATGGTTCGGCCCACTTGACATCGACCGAGTCCGTATGTGGCCCACAATGTGAAATGAGTTTAACACCCCTGCCCTAGCGGCTTCCTGTCCGGCCTTTTTTGGCCATCAAAGGGACGAGCAGCTGTCGTCATGACCCGGGCTGGGCTTTTTTTCAAATCAACTCGCCGGCAGGGCAAGAGGAGACTGCTGCTGTTGCTGCTGCTAAGTGGATTAAAGACAAACTTACGAATAAAAGGTTTGGGATGGTAAAACCAAAGCGCCAAAAGGGGGAAGGCAAAACACCCCAACAGAAAGTCAATCAATTATTTATGTAACATCTGCGGCTTGTCTCAGTGCCAACCCATATGATCGCGTCACCCGCGTCTGTTGTGCGGAAATGTCATCAAAATCTTCTTCTCTTATGTTCCATTTGGAGGACTGAAACAGCTGTGGGAGGAAATTATTTTAAAAATAAAAAATTAAAGGCAGCTAATGAGTCTTTAGGAAATTGTTCTAACAAGATTTATCTGACCTCATGGAATGTTTTTATTCGGCTGGTAAAGTTAGTGCAGCAATCATCTCCTTTTTAGCAGGGATTTTATATTAGGCGGAAGAGGAGCAAATTACAAATAATATCTCATCATGTGCTGGAACTAAAAAAAGTAGGCTTTTGCTTTGCGGAGAAATTTCACGCGTGGATGACAACGTACCCGTCGATTATTTCTGCATTTTATTTGCTTTGACGATCCCCCAAGCTCAACCCCAAAATAATGACATCATCGGAAAGCGACACTCCGATGTCTGCTAGTTCATCAATACTTTTGGTCAATAATCCGGGGTCAACTCTCGGCGGTGTATCAGGTCGTCCAGACGGAGCCTGGAATGAGTTGGAGCGACTGACTGTAAATAAAAGCAATAAATGACGCAGACGAGCGAGGCAGATTTCACCCGTCATATCATTCGTGGCGTGTTTGCATCGACGTGGTTAGATGTATTTGTTTTCGTCTCATTTGGACATCATCAGAAGGCAACAACAAACACAGACTGGCTGGCTGGCAAGGGAGCCTTGTGAGCTGAGAAATGATCAATACCACGCTGGCTGTTTAGAGTCCATCACACCAATCGTCACGCGCGAGCGAGCCATCAATGGCGCAATGCAATAATTCAGTGTCACAACGGGGGAAACGCCAAAGTCCTAAAACACGACGACGACGATAAACCGGGGCTGTGACTATCGTCGATTTCCAGTTCGAGCGGAATTAAAAGACGGATAATCAAGACTGGCGTCAACCCGATTGGTTTGGTGTGATTTTAGCGACGGAGAATCGCGCATATGGAATTCACGAGCAGCAGGTGCGGTCACAACCGAGGGAGCGCGTGGCTGCAAAGCATATGGCGCGGTGGCAGCGCCTCGCTCGTAAATCGCCGCCTGCTATCAGAACGGATCGTTAGGGTTTTAAAAGCCTTCGCGTTACATTAACTTTGGCAGTGATTTCTTAAGCAACAAACTCACTGACAAAAATGTTTCAAAGAAAATAAAAATCATCCATATTCACAAGACATTTTTTTTCACTTTACGGGGACGCTCAAAGTTAAATACAACCGAACTGTACTGAGGCTGTGCTTCTTTTGCGAACCACTAGAGGGAGCTCGTGCACCACTACACCCTTTGAGAATCGCCGGCTTATCCTGTTCAGGCTCACGGCTCCACTCGAGCAGCCGACGGGTGGATCGGAATTCAGGTCAATCAAATTCACAATCAGGCAATCACTTAATGTGAGAGGACCAGATTTCACGGGACACTGCAAGTGCTCAAGTCACGATTCAGCAATACACTCGTGCACCGGAGCTCGCGAGCCCGGCCGGCCTTGTCATCCAACATCAGTGACCTCCGAGTCCTCCCAAATGCTCTGTTGGATGAACAAAACTCCCCGAAGGCGAGGCAGACTGTGTTTGGAACCGCTCGGACAAATCAGGTCACAACGATTGCATCCGCCAGATCACACAGATTTGAATGCGTGCTTGTTTGTCGCCCGTGTGATACTGCGCGAGTCAAAATGAAGAAACTGTTTTGGAGCGACCGATTTGGCATACTGTGAGACAGATGGTTGGATAACACTGCAGCCATGTTAGCCGCAGGGAACGCTGGCTCTTCGTCTACAACTAGCCGGAACCAAATCTGGAACATTGAAGGCCAGCGATGTCGGGAAACGCGTTACCTAAGAAACTCGCAACAGCAAATCCAACGTGTTGCTTTTTTTTTTTCTCCAATCAAGTCATAAGACTATGGTTTCTTTTGCCATCAAAGGGAGTTGCTGTTTCCCCGCTTTCGGTTTTTCAGCAGTGAAAAAGAACTGACGTTCACAAAACAAGGGTCGCATATTCCAAACTGGAAAATACAACTCGCTCAAAAAGGGAGTGTGAAGCCTCGAAAAATTTTGTCCTTGAGCTGAGATTACAAATGGAACAAAAGGTATTGAGGACGCAAACACTGATTTAAAAAAAATCAGATGTTATCAAAGCAGTCCCCCTAAGGCACAGGTGTCAAAGTCAAGGCCCGGGGGGCCAGATCCGGCCCCCCACGTCATTTTATGTGGCCCGCGGGATCAAATCATGTGTGTCAACTTTCATGATTCTTGCGGAAATCTGTACCGAAATGTCAAATTGTCATGGGTAAGAAATAACGTTGAGATTTTACACCGGCCCTCCGAGGGAAGCCGTAAATCCAAAATGGCTCGCAACAAAAACGGAGTTTGACACCACTAAGGCTTGGAATAAGTTTTGGCATAGGAATTAATAGCACTGCTTTGACTCCTAAAAAAAAAAAAAAAAAAAAAAAGAATTTCATTATGCTCTTAATTGATCGCTACAAAAGTGAGTTCGGTCTGGTTGTGAGATTGAAAAGTGTGTTTCACCCTTTCGGGGACAGCGGTTACTACAATGGACAGCTGATCATGTGATCAGGTTACAGGGTGCATGAAAGGGTTAAATCTCTCATCTCACCTTTTTCCTGTCATCACTTGATTCAAAAATATCTGATATTTTACAGCGGACGTCGCTCGCAATTTCACCGAGATGTGCGACTCAACATTTGGTGAAAATAAATGAAGCGGACGACCTGCTTTGCCTCTCCCACCCTTTTCCAGAGATGAGCGTTAAATAAACAAAAATGAGGAGCGTAAAACAATGCCTATGCAGATGCTTCCAAGTGGGGTAGACAGACAGCGAGTTCACGGTATGGCACGATACAAATGCTGTGAATCGGGATAGTGCAGCCAGCGGTTCGGGTTGAGCGCTTCGCACGCTCCACATGCTCATTAAGAATAGTTGAGGCTGCTCGAAGGAGTCGCACGCATGCACCGCAGCAAACGGCATCACTACATGAACTCTTCAACATGTGGCCGCATCTGCCAGCACAATCTTTTACCAAAACGCGGCACAGTTTGGAAAATATACGCAATGTTGGCATGTTGGAGATGCTTTGGCCACAAAAAATAAAAAATAAAAGTTTCATCAAATGCGCATTATCATAATCAATCACGGGAATGTGCATCCGAAATATGATTTAAATGAGATTTTCTTACCCACGAGGCTGAGGAGCAGAAGCCGGGAGAGGACTTCGTGGACCCGGACCGTCTCCATGGTCGCGAGAAAAGGACACGCAGAGAGGCCGAATGTCGCTTGGCAGTGGGGGGGGGGGAGAAACGCGCGTCGTGTGCGTCGAGATGCGCTAGCAGGTCATCCCGCCGGTGCGCGCGTCCGTGCGTGCGTGATGCGTTGACGCCGCCAGTCGACGCTGGCGCTCGGCGGGGTTCGGCTCGGGTCTGACGGGGGGGAGGAAGCTCCGTCTGGCTCGCCGGCTGGCCGGATGAATGCGGACGCGCGCTCGCGAGCCGCAAAGCGGGGATGAAGGGGAGCGCCACCCACTGCCTGAATGAAAATGAATGAGGGGCGTCTTGGTGATTTGACTCCAGGGATTTGCGTGTGTGCGTGTGTGTGTGTGCGCGTGTGCTCGCACTTGACATCCAATCAGTGTCTTTCATCGTGAAAGCTCCCGTTGCATAAAACTGCACTTTAGTGCAGACACTGGAATCACTTGGGCGATATTAACCCTTTTCATGCAACCCTGGAGCCTGATAAAATGAGAAGCTGTCCACTGTAGTAACCGCTGTCCCTGAAAGGGTTAAATTAGACACAAATGTCATCAAAAGCCCCCCATCATGTGTTTATTACGATGGTTGTTGAACTGCATCGCATCCGATTTTCCAGTGCCGGTCCTAGCCTAAATTGCCAAGGGGGCACCGGCCCCCGTTGAAATATGCTTGGACCCCCCAGGTGCCAGGCCAGACAATAGACTTTTGAGTATATTCCGAGTTTTCTGTCCACATTTCCCCCACCTTCTGTCGTGAACACAAAATGAATATTTTTCAAGAAATAAAAAGAAAAAAAACGGGGTGGCTAAAGTGCAGCCCGAGAGTCGGGCCAGATTTGCCCATCCACGGTCTACTTATTCCCACAGCATGTAAACTAGCCGAAGAGTTGGAATAAATTCTACATTGATCGATTTTCCCTCCAATTATTTTGAATGGCCGAAAAGTAAGAATAGCATTTGATCTTTTTCTGAAATGAAAAGACTGTGGGACAAGCTTTACGAGCGGGGTCTAAAGAAAAACTACATAAATTACGCCTTGGAGCTGCTGTCGCCAGTGCACAGTATTGCTCAATCATGTCAATTAAAATAAAAAGAATTTCACACTTTCAGGGACAGAGGTTACTACAGTGGACAGCTTATCATGTTATCAGGTTACAGGGTGCGTGAAAGGGTTAAAGAAGAATCCCAGTGGGGTGATCGTGTCACATTTTTGCAGCACTTAATCTATTCACATGGTTGCCATATCTACAGATGACTATGAAGTCCCCGCTAAGTGCCAAACAAAGAAACTCAAGTCTCTTTTGGGGGACTTCCATGAGAGGATGCGTTCAAGGAACTCGGGATTCAGCGGAATCATAAAGACCCCACTGATCACAGTATGTCTGGATGAATAATTTGTCGAGAAACAAAGGCTTTGGTCCACTGATCTGGAGCAGCCCCACACGGCGGAACAAGACAAAACTCTCCCACAGCGGAAATAAAGTGTGTATTAATGTAAAAGGTTGGAGAACAACGTTTGCCTCGAGGACCCGCGCGAACAACACCGAGTGTGTGCGCTGGGAAAAAAAAAAAAAAAAAAGAATGAGTCGGGAGTTCACATTCAACAGGCTTCAATGGTTCCAAAACACAGTGCGGTGGCAGCTTTTGAGTTGTTGTGTGTGAGAATGCGAGAGACGGGCCTGGGTTTCTCAAGAACAAGCTACTCTCGTTACTCAGTGTGCATTCATTAGCATAAATTAAGAGAGATAATCCCCTTTTAATTCTGCCAGGGGAGCCTGTTTGTCCCACTTGTAGGTCCAAGGTTTCGGTCCCAATGTTTGTTACAATATCCTCTCAGGTCCCGTGCTTCCGGGGATATACTGTAGGTCGATGTGTGTGTGTGTGAGAGCGTCACTTACAAAGTGCTTGAATTTGTCTTGTGACATGGTCACAAATTTGGCACGTTTAGTGACAAACACATGTAGGAGAAAAATATGAGGCGCTTCATGGGCCAAAAATAGCGTTCGCGCTTCAAAAAATGTCTGAGTGTATGTGTGAGAGTTTCATTTGGTAGAGGTAACGAAGATATATTGTTTCATGTGAAACCTATTTTTTTTGTGTGTGTGCACGAGAGGAATTTTTGGTGCATGTGAAAATCTTTTGAGTTCTGCAAATGAATTTTGGGTGAGAGTGAGGGGTTTTGGTTGTGTGTGAGACATTCTTTGGTGGTCATGAGAGTTTTTTTGGTGGGAAGCCTGAGGTTTCTTGGTGTGTGCAAAGGCTTTTTGTTCGGGGTTATTTTGGTGTAAATGTTTTTTTTCTCTGAGTGTTTTTTTGGTTTACATATAATATTTTTGAGGCCTGTGAGAGTTTTTTTGGGGTGGAATTGAAAGGTTCATTGGAAAGGGTTTTTTTTTTTTTTTTTGCAAATCTGAGAAGTCCTTTGGTTTGTGTGTAGGAGGTATTTCTTTTTTTATGAGGCGTTTCAGTCTATGTGAGTGTTTTTTGGTGTATTTTGTGCATGTGACGGTTTTTTGGGTTGTATGAGTTTTTAGTATGAATAAGAAATCTGAGGTTTGAGAGGGTTTTGAGATTTTTTTTTTGGTGAGAATTTTTTTGGGGTAAGTCAGAAATTGTGAAAGTGAGAATCTAGTGAACGTGAGTTTTTTGGGTGACCATGAGAATTTTTTTTTAGGTGTGAATGAGAGGTGAGTATAACATTTGTGGGTGTAAGTCAGAAAAGTTTTGAAGTGATTAAAAATGGAAGTAAAAAAACAAAATTCTTGACAATAATCGGTTTTATGTCCCATGACATTTTCCCTTGTACTGCCCCCTGCTGTCGACCGAAAATGACAACACAGCGCCTTGCGAACGACACACGACTCAACCCAGAGAACAGGTGAGCCATGATTGGCCGCGAGTCCTGAGGAACTGTGATGTCATTTTCAGTCGACAGGAAGTGACAAATTAGCCACGCCCCCTGAGATGGGTTAAAAAAACGGTGGAACTTGCTGCGTAATTAATATTCCAGACACACAATATTAATCAAAATATCGTGCTTAGATTAGCGGGAGCGCATAAAATGTGTACAAACAATTTCTGACTTACCTAGCAAAAAAAAAAAATTTTTGCCATTGATTCACGGGTTTTGAGTTGGCGGTGTTATTGACTTCCTGTGGCGGCAACTGGAGGTCACTGTCGTGGCCACAGCATGCTTGACAGTTAACATTGAGTTTAGCCCTCAGTGTGTGTGTGTGTGTGTGTGTGTGTGTGTGTGTGTGCGCGCGCGCGTGAGCGCAGAGTGTAGCCCTCAGTGTGTGTGTGTGTGTGTGTGTGTGTGTGTGTGTGTGTGCGCGCGCGCGTGTATAAAATGCCATCAGTGGTGAGTGTGAGGCCATGTGCGGTTAGTGTGGCTTAAACGATGAGTGGGCAGACTGTCTGCTATGTGCAACTGACACCGTCTAAAATCATATCGGGCCGAGGATAATTTGGCGGGTGTCTGTTTTGTCGAGGCCCGAGAGATTAAGGCGGGGGGGGGGGGAGTTTAACTGCGAGCGTTTTTATTGATAGTCTCTCTGTTCGGATTAATTAAAAGGATGCGTTGCCGGGAAGATGTTCCTTTAGGGACACTCGCGCTCCATTTAAGAATCAATTTGTTCCTCCTCTGAGAGATCCGTGATACTTTCTTTTTGAAAGGCAAGAGACAAAAAAAAATAAGCGGAAGATGGCGTCAGGCCACTCCAAAAAGTGGCTCCATCTTTGTGTGTGTGTGAGTGTGTGTGCCTTTCACATGTGTGTTTGTCTGTGAGCTGACATTTACCTTCCCGGATCATTAAAAGGTTTTGCCGTCGCTCTTCAAGACACGTGACTCATCCCCTCACACTTTTATTACATCTCCCGGTCAAGGTTTATGTTTGAGTCGCGGTGATTAGCCTGTCAACATAAAACCATACTCTGAACGCCTGATGGAAAGTATTTTGGGGCTTTTGGTTACTGTATTCTTGAAATTTGGTTCAAGAGGGTATTTTCGTGCAAACTATTTGTGTTTGATGAACAAAGACTCACCTCCGGCATGACGACAACTTCGATGTCAATGACCAAACCCTGAAGACACCAAAAAAAAAAAAAAAACGCTGCTATCAAAGTGAGGCCAAAATCGCAAAAGCTGTACAGTACACACAAAATATCGAGACGCTGGTTTGGAAAGGGTGAGTCATAACCGCTGTTATTTGTCACTCAAAAACTCCCAATGGTTGTCAACTACGCCATGCGACCTTGAATAAAAGCCACCAAAACGCCTCGTTCTATTTCGCAGATTCCAAGCATGTTTTTGAGGACGTGATAAGGAGAGGTGGACCTCAGCTGGAGAATGGAGGGGGGGGGAGAAAGAGCCATTTTCCATGGTCAGGGGTCAGTACGAATGAGGTGCACTTATATGAAGATGAAAGCCGGGCCAGACGTGCACATTTACCGACACAACTCGTCCTGGAACAGATCACCTCTCGTGAAAGCAGGAGTGGCTCGATGAGACATTCAGCACTTGGAATTTTGTTTGTTTGTTTTTTTTGTTTGGTAGCCTTTACTTTAATTCTCAATCGCAAACTGTTCAAATGATTTGTCCATGACTCTCTCCATTATGTAACAGCAGGAAGTGGGCGGGCTTGTGGCTTGCTGTATATAAAGTAGGTCACCAGATTAAAGAGAATCAAATCGGTTTTGTGGGCCTCTTCCGTTTGCCTCAATTTACCCGAGCGTCAAAGCTTTTCCTCGATAATCAGTGCGTGTCGGTGCATTTTGCAGGACATATTGATTTGTTTCCCTTCACCCTTTCGTGCACGCCGGAACCTGATAAGCTGTCCACTGTAGTGACCGCTGGCCCTTAAAGGGTTAATGTTGAAATTGCGATTTATTCTGCAGTGATTTTTTTTTTTCAAGGTCTACTCCCTTTTGTCTATTTAAAAGAGCAATATATTAAAATGTAATCAATTATTTAGCTGACGCTAAAATAAAAGCAAATAAACCATGAATTCATATGCAGGATGTAACGTCGAGACATTAACTGCGCAAAATTCTACCAAGCAAGCGCGGCGTAGATTTAAGTCAAGAATTCGGGCTAATCTGTGGCTTTATTATCATTTCAACTTCAACACTTCTCCTACGCTGCGAAGTCAACTACTGATATTATGAGTTGACACTGTCGGCGGACAATTTTCTGACACCCCCGCACGGGTTGTTGAGGCTCTCGGAAAAAGGAACTCGCCATGTAGAATTAAATCAACCCGTGAAAAGTGGGATCACTAAATATGTGACATCAAGTGTAAATTAGAGTCTGTCCGCATTTACATCGAATGCGCCAAACACTTACTTTCTTAAAAGGACTGCGAGCAACGCATCCTCTGCAGAGGTTTTCCTGTTTTTTATTCCCCCTCGGTCCACATGAGCACACAAACGGAGATGGATTGCTGATGGGCGCCATGGCAACCTCTGGGGCTTTTCTTCATCATTGTTGGCTGGAGTGGAAAAGCAAGGAAGGGGGGAGAAAAAAAAAAAGAAGACGAAGGAGAGAGGTAATCAACACGGCGCATTAATTATGCCTTAACTCGCTGTAAAGCTCTCACACACGCTATTGTGCATCCAAATAGCCGGTTGACAAAAACAGCCTACTTGGGAAACCACTTTCATTTGAATGGGCCTAAACTAGACAAAACTACTTTTTGGAGCGCGCAAATGATTTATCCAAGTTAGACAAAGTGGATATAAAAAGTCTACACACCCTTGTCAGAAGTTTTGGTAATACAGTATATGTCTATTTTTAAAATTGAGTCAGTAATCCAACATTTAACCTGTGTAAGCCAGTTGAAAAAAAATTGAGAGGGGAAGTCAACAAAAAAACAGATGATCTGCGCAAGTGTGCAAAGTAGGAGTTGGCACAAAACTGCCATTATTTAAATGCCTCTCGCCCAAAATAAGGTTCTGATGTTCTAGTAGCCTTCCCTGACATGTTTTTGTTCTATATGTAATTTTCCAACACTGGCAGTAATTAAATGTGTTTTTTTTTTTTTTTTATCGATGATGAGATAAGATTGAATCAGTTTCACCTGTTGCATTTCTTTCCCAGTCAGATTTACCATGGCTGTCTCCTGTAAGAGTTATGTAAAATAAAATATTCAACGCCTAGCATTGTTTTTAATCACTTTATCGTTTACTAACGTTGAGAATATTCGGATATTAATCAATTCAAATTATATTTTATCCTACTTCGGTTTGAAAGATACCATTGGGCTTTTCGAGAGGCAATGTGGGGCTAATGTAGTAATGTTGGCAAACAGCGTCATCTGCTGTTAGCTTTGAAAAGCAGCGTTTTTTTTCGACGAGCGTGACAGAAAAATCACTGAAATTTAAGCGTGAAAACGTTTTAAAACTAAATGTTACAACATAAACATTCTTAAAGGCTCTATTTAATCATTTTATTTCACGGTCCACATCCTGAACCTACCTTGCTAGCAAAACGACACGTTGACGTCATCAATGCGCGACGGAGTACTGTCCTTCGCTTTTGCTCATGCTGTCACCTCTGACGCGTTGAAAATCTACATTTGTTTGTGGTTGTATGGAAAAACAGTAGTTTTAGGTCGGAATATATCCACCGAAATTCGATCGAGTGAGTATTCAGTAGCTAACAAACAAATATTCGTTTCTCCCCACCACTCTGTGTGCTAAACGTCCTGTTTTTGCTAATTAAAACAAGTAGCATATTGTCGTTGTATCATGCAGTGCGTTGAAAGTGTTGCAATTATGTTTTTAACAGCTGAAAATACAAATGAAAATCACGACGAGTTTACCTTTTGTCAGGTGGCGATGGCAGCTCCAAATGCAGTGGAACGAAAAGCCTGCTGGGATGCCAGGGACTTATTATGGAAATGCATGGATGACAACAATGACAAGGCTGCATCCTGTCAGAGGTTCCAAAGCGAATTTGAATCAAAGTGCCCTGCTCAGTGGGTAAACTATCCCCCTTATTTTGTCGTCATTGTACACAATATTGGACGTGTATTTCTGATTCCTGCCTTTCCTTGTAGGTCAAGTATTTCAGTAAAAGGAGAGACTTCTTGAAATATAAAGAGAAGATGCAAACAGAGGGGTTCACACCGTCTGAAGGCCCCCGGCAACCCTCCTGACCCGAAAATCGCCGACTAATGACTTTTTTGGGCCACATTCAGACCTTGAGGACTTGCAATCATTTCTTATTCTGGTTTATTTTTAAATATATTTATGTGAATAAAACTTAAAAAGTTGTATTTTGTGTCCCTTGTGACCATGCACATTTTATCCAAAAAAACAACACATATTGGTTTAATGCATTTTATTCTTGTACACATATTTGGTCTTCCTAACTCTTCGTGTCTGTAAATCCACGGAACCAGCGCTTTATGTTGGTTGGTATGCAGTTACAAAAATAGGCGTGAAAGGCCTTGACAGCGACTTCACTGAGATGCACTCAGCGTGACAACTTGAATAAATTACAAATAAAAGAATAAATGCATAGTCTTGGTGATTCTCCCGATGAAATAATTATGTTAGAGCTGGATGATAAAAAAGCCAAACATTCCATCGTGTAAAGATATAAAACAACTTTTACATTTCTTTGCGGAATACATGTTAATACCTTCATCTACCACCAGATTTAATTGAACATTGATTATCATTAAATGCAAATATGCGCGCTCACCCTTTGAACCATAATGTTGCGTTCCAAAAAAAAAAAAATTCTAAAATCGATGCGCTTTACTTAATCTGTGATTACGATGACACCAAAAATCCTTGCCTCGTTTCCGTGGAGCAAATTAGGATTTTTTTTTTTCCCCCCTTCCTTTGTCTGGATTGCTTTGTATGTTTGACCTGTATGAGGAAAATTCATGATCTTTACATCCTCTGTTCTCTGTCATCGCAACAATTGCACCCGTAAACCTACAATGACATCCTTTTACTGTGCTGAGTACTGTTGACTAATTGAAAGGCACTACTGAAAATGCTTTCCCAAAATACTGTACAGTAGAAGGAACTTTGAAAGGCCATCGCACAGTGAATACAGTAATTACATACACTTAAGGATATAAAATCTTTTTTTTTTTTTTAAAACAGCTTTCATTGTGAATCGCAGATTGCCCCCTAAAGCAGCTTCTTCCCTCTATCCCCCTTCTCATAAGTTCACTCAAGACTTTTCATGCCTCCTCTTCTGTAGAAAGGCTTTCTTAACACTCTCTGGTCATCTCATTTTCCTCCGAGTGGAGGAGGCGGCGGGGCTATAAGCTGCTGGTAACATTTGCGGCCACAGCCCAGGCTGGAAACTCAGTCAAATTAAAGAGGGGCACCCCCCATGTGGTGATGGCCAACATCACCACGGCAACGCCGATCAGGTTCACCCCGAAACCCGCTTTGACCTGTCGGATGAAAAGCAGATGGTAGTATAGTAATGCGGAAAAGGCAGATATTCTATATTGAAAAAATAAAAATAAAAAATCTCACAGCACACTACCAAACAAAAATGTCACAAGTAGGAAATACAGATTCATCACCTGTCGGATGAAAAGCAGATAGCAATATAGTAATGCAGAAAAGGCAGATATTCTATATTAAAAAAAAAAAAAATCTCACAGCACACTACCAAACAAAAATGTCACAAGTAGGAAATACAGATTCATTGTGTATATACTGCCCTCTAGTGGAAAAAGATGTAATATTATTTGTCGGTGGCACAACATAGCAATGCAGAGCAAAAGCCAAGCGTTAAGAAATCCAACTTTTTATCCCCTCCGATTACATAAAACACTCGCAAGCTTTTTGAGGCTGCAGGTGCGAGAGAGCATGTGATTTGGGGAATGCGTGTGTGTGTGTGTGTGTGCGCGTGGTACCATGTCGCTGATCTGCAGGTGGCCGTAGCTGAAGACGATGGCGTTGGGGGGGTTCCCCACTGGAAGCATGACCCCGAATGACACGCACATAGTGGAGGGGATTAAAGTGTGCAGGGGGTTGATGCGCAAGGTCTCGGACTGCGAAGGACGGGGAGATACGGTCAGAAATAAAGGGAAAGAAGAAACTAGTTTAATTTATCTACAGTATTAAAAAAAAAAAAAAACACCGCATCAGTTTCTGTTTGTACAAACTCATGTTGAGCCGCAACGTACCAGCGCGGAGAGGATGGGCAGGAAGACGGTGAGCGTCGCCGGGTTGGAGGCGAACTCTGTGACCGCCGACACCAGCAGGCAGGCGAGCAGGGTGACGGCCCAGGGCGGGAGACCGCTCATGGGCTCCAGCTGCCGGCCGATCCACACCGACAAGCCGGACACCTGCGAGCCACAATTCCTTCGTTATCATGCCGGTTCCGCTCGTTTGAATTCAGCGCTCTCTGATCCATGTTGTACCTTGCAGCCGGCGGCAAGTGCGTAGCCCCCGCCCACCAGGATGACGATCTCCCACGGCATGAGCCTCTGGAAGTCCTTCCAGGTGATCATGGGAGACAGCGGGTCTGATGCTGTCAAGACATTGGTTGAAAAATCATTTTTTTCTCCCCCTTTCGACTGGGAACTATGTCGAAGTGAGCTGAGGCGCTTCATTCAGACAAAGAGGCATCTTGGTGGACCATCTTGTGGAGAGTTGAAGTTCTTCTGTTGGACAAACGTAGTGCTTTGCCATCAGCCGCCACCATCTTGGTGCAATGGAACTATGTTGAACTGAGCTCAGAGCTTCCTTTAGATAAAAGCAGTGCTTTTGCCGCCATTTGACTATGCTCAAGTCAGTTTAGGGCTTTGTCGAGAGTACTTTGCTGCATCTTAACGCCATTGTCGAATGTATTGAGGAACTTTATTTGGACAAAAGGAGTGCTTTGCCGCCATCTAGTGGAACCTGGGCGCCGGAAACTATTTGTTGATGTGAGTTGAGGAGCGTCACTTTGACAAATGTAGTGCTTCGCCGCCATCTCGCGTCTTCACCTTACCTGGGTCTCTGTAGCTCAAACGGGTTGAGGAGAAGGGTCGCTTTGCAGGAATGAGGAAGAGCAGGAAGCCCAGGAGGACCGACACCGTCGCGTCGGTCCGATAGCCTTTCCTAAAAGAGGGAGGGCGGACGTCACCGTTTCACTTTTTTGCGTGGTTGACGCACAACAACGTCAATGAGGGCTTTTGGGAAAAAAAAAAACTTGCTTCTCAAAAAGCGAGGTCCAGCCTGGCACAAAACCGGGCTCTCGCGTGAACCACAGCAGAGTCATCAGGATGAAGAAAACACCGGTGACGACCTCTGGGTAGCTAGAACATTCCAAAAAAAAAAAATTAAAAAGTGTGATTTATCAGAAATTACGTGTTCTTTTCTGACGGAATATATTTCGACACCTGATCGGCCCCAGTTTTTCATACTCCTCGTGGATTCTCTTCTCGGACATCATCTCCCTCTTGGACTTGCGTTTCTTACTCAGCGAGCACGTTTCCCTGAAGCTGGATGAGAAACACGGATGACATCGTCAAAAAAGCCCGCCCCCCGTTCGCCGTCGCGCGCCACTCCCGCACCGCACGCACTTGCAGCCCAGGAAGAGGAAGTGCAGCCACAACCAGGTGAGGAACAGCATGATGATGGCGATGGGGAAGCTGAAGATGAACCATGTGCCGAAATTGATCACCTTGGCATCTGGATAGCGCCTGCAAATGGAAATCATTGTTTTTTTATTTTTTATTTTTTACGGTATCTCATGTATAGCACGTACGTGTTAAACTGCTCGGCGAATATGAGGTTGGTGGAGGTGCCGGTGATGGTGATGAGTCCGCCGATGGTCGCGGCGTAGGTGATGCTGAGTGTCAGACATTTACAGATCATGTGATCCCGCTTGGTAGGATACTGTGAGTCTCGCCGGGCCTTCACGCGCTTCACGTTTGGGATTTCGATGGCTACCTGTGGGCGGGGAGGGAGGGGGTTGGGGTGGGGGGTAGAAGCAACACGTGACAATTGAGTCGAGTCGTTTCATATCGAGTGAGTGAGTACTTTGGCACCTGCGGCAAGTGTCCGTTGGTATGCGTGATGCAATCTTGGTTGCTATTTGGATTCGCGCCGACCCCGTTGACTTCTCCCGTCTGATCCTGAAGAGTCCAAATAAAGTCACTTGGGGTTTTTTTTTTATAACAAAAACTTGGTCGAATCTTACCTCACTAAGTGTGGACAGTTCCTGTTTGTCGCAATTGTTGCTGGAGAACAAGGAGAACATTTTATTTTGCATTATAAATGATGACATGTGAGAATAATTACTGTTGAGAGGCCGAAATCAGAAAATTTGGGGAATTTTTAAACTAAACAATGGCCATGAACAATGGCTCGATTAAAAGAGTCGATTAATTTGAGAATCGATTAGTTGATTAGTCGATTAATTTGGAACGTCTCATTATATTATTTTGTTCGATTTTTTTTTTTAACCCAGTTGATGCTCAATAATGTTTACAGTACTTTGAAAGCACATGGGTGCAAAATGCTAGCGTAAATTAAAAAAATAATAAGAAATTTATACCTGTCATTACGGTACAGCAGCGCCAGTTGATTCTTGTCCAGTTTTTCCTCCTTGTCTGAAACGGCTGCAGAGCAAGAAAAAAATCTGACACCGTCCCACCCGGCACATTCCATATATTGACATAACAACACAGCAAACAGAAGTCTTGCATTGGATCGCCAACGACATTCGTACCGCTGTCATCCTCCGTGGCGTCGGGTTCGAGGTTGTCGGCCATGCCGGTGCATATGAGTTGCTGCAGGACAGCCTCGGCGATGGGCATCACCATGGCTGTGGTGGACGTGTTGCTGAGCCACATGGACAGGAAGACCGTGCAACACATGAAGCCCAACACCAACCTTTCCAAGCCAACACACAGGGAGGAAAAAAACAAAACAAAAAAAATAGTCATCTTCCCTCCGAATAGGCTCCTTGCGTGGCTGCTTCAGAGCGCCTCGTTGTCAGCAGTGAGTGTGCGTATATATCACACAGAGAAAAGAAGAAATAGCAATAAACAAGGAACTTTTTTTTTCGTCCAACTCGACAGCCAGCATGTGGCTTCACACTGGCATGGCTGCTTTAGAGCGCCTCGTTGTCATGCCGTCGTGCAACCTTTATGCAAATGGCGTACACTTGCACGCTTGAATGCTCACATGCCAGGCTTGGCCCCGGCGACCATCACCATGCGCAAGGCGATGCGCTTGTGCAGGTTCCACTTTTCGATGGACGCGGCCAGACAGATGACTCCCATCAGCAGCAACGTGGTGTCTTTCGAGTACTCGGCCGCCACCTGAACACACACGACAAAAAACAGGCCTCACAGGAAGTGATGCGTTCAATGTGGGCGTCTACCACCTTAACCCAATTCACCCTCCCTTGTTTGGATCGACATTTGTTCTTTTTTTTAATCTCGCCATTGTGTAAGCCAACGTCTCGTCACCTCTCACCTAATGCCTGCCGGACTTTGTCCTTATGGACTGTTTGCCATATTTCATACATGACGAGAATCAATTTTGTACTGGACATTGATTGCTAAATGCAATCTAAAGATGAGCCAATATTCCCGCCCATGGTTGTCGTCACTTATTTACTCTCGGAATCTACTCAGGTGTTTTCGGTGCAACTTTCCCAGCTTCTATCGGGCGGAGTACACGACGCACACTGAAAAGCGCCCTAACAGACAGGAAACGTTGCATAAAAGCTCTCCGCTTGCATATTCGTGGACCGCCATCACAAGAGGCTTATTCGCGCCGTTAAGAGGCGGCTTTGCAAATTGGTCACATGGCGCGCTTTTTATGTAATGCTTGCGAGAAGAAAGGTAAAGAAAATGAACGACCGGCGATTCATTTGTGAGGTTGCAGACGTTACCCACGAGTCAGCAAGAGGCAGTCGTTCAAGTTGAAGAGGCACGCACGGGACTTAAAACATCATCTGGGCAGTAGTATGCCACAGTGCATGTCTAATGAAAGACTTAACGCTTTGTATGTTGAAATTATGTCTTCAAAAAAACTCACCTCACTTGACTTGAGGACCCCAAAGAGTGGGTATAGGAAGGCGGGGACAAGGGCGGCAGCACCCAAGGGAACAGCCTCCGACACCCAGTAGATTGCCGTCACGATGAGCACATATGCGCAACACGCCTCCTGCAAAAAGAAAAACCCAGATCCGACTGAGCTGTTGCATTTCACTGGCAAGGTAGTGGCCCTAACATCAATCCCTGGGGTTCTCCAATGTGTGGAAGTGTATTGATTTGACCTGATCAAGATCAAACTGTTGCATATATATCAGAGGCGTAAAAGTCATATTGGCTGTGATGTCAAATTATGTACTTGAAAGGTAGTGCGGGCCTAACATAATTCCCTGGGGTACTCCAACATGTGGAAGTGAATTGATTTCAACCCACCAACGATCCACTCTCAAAATCCAAGGGTTATTACACTTAAAACTATGAACAGCGTTTTCCACTGCGATCGATTTAATTTGGTGAGAGGACTATTTCCGGGTGTAACACGAAACCGAAAAAAACAAGGCGCTTAAATTCATTTAACGGCAGAAAAAAACATGTTAGTCTGCAAAGAATCACAATTGTTAACTTGGCAGCACATACGGTATTTCGTTTGGATAGCGACCAACAAAAATATCCCAAGTGGAAAGTGAACGTTCAAAAAATATATGTATCTATAACTATATTATATAGCGAAGTATATAGTACTCCAATTAAGGTATTACCTACATTTTGTAGCTACACTCACAACGAATGGAAAAGTAACAAAGACAGATAGTGTCCATTTTTGTTTATGAACTGTTCGAATCGTTTCAAACGGCTTTCCGTTGAAGTCCCAAGTCTATTTGCTTATCAACAGCTGGGACCGTGCCGAGTCAGCGCCAAAAATTCACACAAACCCCGCGTGAAGGTGGACAAGCCTTGACTGATAACGGCGTGAAAAGCAATCGATGCGCAAGGATGGGAAGAGGTGATGAGGAGGATACACGCGCAGATAAAATGAGTCGACAGCGAGGCGAGATACAAGAAACTCGGCCTGATTCAGCACTCACTGATTATTGATTATGGACTCCTGTTTATCAGAGGGGGGCTGGGAGATCGTCAACCACGCGGCGCTGATTTCTTTGTCGCTGTCGTTTTGCAAGTCAGACTTTATACCGATGGGGGGCTTGAATCCCCCGTCCAACCTCATCGACTTGAACCTTCGTGTCTTCACGGGTATATGAAAAGACTTACTTTCCGCTCCTACCTACTGAACAGCATTTCCTGTTTCGTGCGAAAGTAAGATCATTATTTGGATGATTATTAATATCATGAGAAGGCCTCGTATCGGCCGGGTCCTTATGATTGCTTTGTAAAATCAGACACGTGTCCACTTTATTGGACGTCTTAGGCATGCAGAGGCCTTCTTCCACCTCAGCGCAGCCGATTGAGTGGCTCATCAACTTCCTGTTATCAACGGTCGACTCAGCCAATGATCATGAGTGGCATTTACACACACAAAAAAAAAGACAAAATGGGTCCGACGGTGAAAAGAATTTTTTTTTTTCACTCAATAAAATCAAACTCAAAATCGTAAACTGTACCGTGTACTATTAATCTGAATGACAAATGCTAGTTTACACACCAACATGGAATCCATGACTGGAAATTCGTTTTTGGTGGCATTTTTCTCACGAGCAAGCAAACAAAACGTGTAAAATTTGGTAATTAATGAGCCAGTTTGACTACAACTCGAAACACACGCACACACAAAACGACACATTCCTGAAACAGTCTGCGGCCGGCGGTGTCGTAAGGCGCCAGCGGGACGCCGACCGACCCAGCGTGCTGTTCGGTGACGGTGCATGGATTATATAACTTCATTACTGGGATTATTTTTTCTTTGTGTTGATGTTCTGGAACCTCGGCTCTTGCTCGGCCTCATCCTGGGCCGACGGCGTACGCTGCCAAACATGCGCCGGCCGCTGACATAACAGCATGGAGAGCACTTTTTTTGGGGGGGAATGAGAGCCACCAAAAACACTTGAATTTCATTGTACTTATTTTTCAGGGCGAGTACACGGAAGAATTTTGGAAAAACCTGCACAAAAATTGCTAAATGCAAGCAGAAAACCGACCTGCACTTTCATTCGGGAACGACGTGAACTGATGATGGCCGGGTGTTGTTGAATTCTATGCTGCCATCTAGTGGCATAGTGTCTGAAGTACACTCGTAAATCCGATATTTGCTCGCAACACACACCCCCCAAAAATTTTTTTTTGAAATCAACTAAGTGACAGCTAGTCGGAAAAATTCTTAAATTAAATTGGTTGACACAAATATGTTTTGGTGGGCCTCTGTCAAAAAAAAAAAAACGCTTCCGTCCCAATACCTGTATATGAATTGCTGTCAACTGTGAAACATCAATTTGTCTCAAAAGTGTATTTATTTTCCGAATCTCCCTGTCCTTTCTTTCCTGTCCATGGCAGCACACCGAAAAAAAATACTTGACAAGGTACGACATTATTTTTATGTTCGTCATGGATGAATTGTCTACTTCGCCATTCTTGTGTTCCATTGCAAAATTTCGTTTTGCTTGGTGGCATTATTCCTTTTTTTTTAATTTGTTTTTTTTACTTGCTGTCAAAATGTTAATTGAAACCCAAATGTGCTCCCTATTTTTTTTTTCCCCTCTATGTCTGTGTCGGTTCTCAGTCATCTAGGTTGGTTTGAATGCAGGCAATTTTTAAATTTTTTAAAAATTTGGTCCGTTTTTATGAAAACGATCAAAAATGACTCCGCGCTACACTATTGGGTTCATGATTTGGATTCCCTTCTTGCTGTCCCGTTATAGTTTGTCTAACAACAAGGCGAGGAATTTGTCCACAATACAGCACTCCAAATGTGCTCCCTATTTTTTTTTTCCCCTCTATGTCTGTGTCGGTTCTCAGTCATCTAGGTTGGTTGAATGCAGGCAATTTTAAAATTTTTGAAAAATGTGGTAAGTTTTTATGAAAATGATCAAAAATGACTCTGCGCTACACTATTGGGTTCATGATTTGGATTCCCTTCTTGCTGTCCCGTTATAGTTTGTCTAACAACAAGGCGAGGAATTTGTCCACAATACAGCACTGTCAAAAAAATAATAACATAACCTGACACCAAAAAATCCAACCTGTAATCCCTGACTGAAAAGAAAAAAATCAATTTTTACACATCATTTAAAGAAAATTGGACTTTTGGTTCTGACTTAACCAACAGTTTCTCATTTGACCTCCCAGACCGAGTAGCAACTCTGCACACAATGGATTAGATCTCGCAATAATCCTAGTGTTCTTGCAGCAATTTTTTACATTTCTAAGATTTGCTTTTTTTTTTCCCCCCTCCCTTCTAGAATGAATCGGACATTTATGCCTCTCCAAACACTTTGTCCCCCCTCACCCCAAGCTTCCACTGATGTCCACGTCAACCACATTACGCGACATCGCCGCATAGATGCTGCCTACTGATCAGGATGAGCACTCAGCACAACAATAGGGCCTTTTGATTGATTCGCAAATGAGCAAAATCCCATCAGTAGACCGCAGCTCTCAAAAAAGGGAGCTTCAACAACAGCAGCCGGATTTGATGTCGGAGGTATGAACGGATTATTTGCTTTTGTTGTGTTTTAACTATTTAACCATTTCGGGTATGGCGGTTACTACGGTGGACAGCTTATCCTGTTATCAGGCGACGGGTTATCGTTACCGGTGCATGAAAGGGTGAAATAGTTTTGTCCGTTTTGTCAGTTTTGAGTTTTGGTGTGAGTGTAACTGGTGGTGGGACGCATGGAAATACAAATACTCAAAAATTTTGTAACTTTTGTTCAAATTAGTCACTTTTTTTTTAGACGCGTACGTCCGTATTTTTACGTAAATACAGAGTGAGAGTACTTTTGAATGATTATTCTTACTAAAATTCCCGTCAAATTTTCGACACACAACAAAACTTAAGCTATTGTTCTTTTTAAGTATCCCGTTCGTCGGACTCACGCTGGTGGGGTGGACGAGAGGAAGTGGCAACAGGGACAGCGGGATGAAAATCACCACGATCAGATTCCTCGCCCTCCACAGCTTCCTGAACAGATCCATCCTGGCTGCGGCCTCCAGCCTCATGGGTGACCGGGTGGGTGCTCTTGACTCAACACAACCGGCCGTGAACGTCACTAAGTAGCCAAGCTGGGGTAGAGGTGGTGGTGGTAGAGGGGGAGGCTCCGGTCACCGGGGGCAGCACAACCGTGGTGGGGGCCCACACTGCTTCCAAAGTTCGCCTGGCTGTGCGCTTTTACGCATGAGTGGACTGATCCGGTGTGTCGCACGACCCTCTGGCTCTTCGTCTTCAGCGTCAGGTGAGACCCTTGGAGCTCATTTATGGACCTGCTTAGCTATGCTAATCAAGTCTTGCTCTGTACCGGCCTCCGTTGCGTGTCAGCCAATCAGACTGGAGGTGTTTGTATAAGGCCACGCGTGCAAGGGATGTCACTTGGAGAAGAGGGAGCTCCAACTGAAACGGTTACATATTCATGCAACTAAAAGAATGTGATGAGTATGATTGACTATTTACACAAGGCAGTATTAAGTAGACGTCTGTACATTATAATGAAACGTGAGAACATTTTGGTCTACTTATATTATGTCATTATATTAGGGGAGGGGGGGTTAAAATATCGCGCAATTGTGTACACACACGCGACTGTACAAAAATTCTTCTCCTGGACATGACATCATCCAACACCGCCATCTAGCGGAGGATTTTTTTTGTGTAAGTGCGCATGCATGTAATACCAGGCTGAAGCACAGGGGGCGTAGTTTTGTTCCCAATGGCACAAAATGTTATATTAGGGGAGGGGGGGTTAAAATATCGCGCAATTGTGTACACACACGCGACTGTACAAAAATTCTTCTCCTGAACATGACATCATCCAACACCGCCATCTAGCGGATGATTTTTTTTTGTGTCAGTGTGCATGCATGTAATACCAGGCTGAAGCAAAGGGGGCGTAGTTTTGTTCCCAATGGCACAAAATGTCCCCGTTTAACTTTTAAAAACAGCGAGACGAGCCATTAAAAAAAAAAAAGTGAACGATAATGTATTAACTGTAATATTTTCAACGTAATATTCCCATTAAATCCGATAACCAATTATTTAACATCATAAAAATAAAATACTGTAAAATGAGTGTTTTATGCAGTATAAGCCTAACCCCCCGCCCCAACAACAAAACGACTCCAACAAATGATGTCACAAATATTGTATCTCAGTGGGCCAAATTAACAAAATCAAAAAGTGAATGTCTTAAACTGATGAGAAAGTTGATCCACAGTCCATGCAAATATGAATGTATATTTGACGACAATTCACTTTCAAGCACATGAATATTGGTCAATAATTTTTGCAGAAAAATGTTCTAGGAAATGAGCTCACATGGCATACATTCCACTCACGTGCATCAGGCATGAAAAAAAAAAAATCAAATGACCAGTAGAAAGTTGATCCACAGTCCATGCAAATATTAATGTATATTTGACGACAATTCACTTTAAAGCACATGAATATTGGTCAATAATTTTTTAAGAAAAAATGTTCTAGGAAATGAGCTCACATGGCAGACATTCCACTCACGTGCATCAGGCATGAAAAAAAAAAATCAAATGACCAGGAAGTTTGTTTCAGGAGGATTAACTGTGATTTCCTCATAAAAACAACAATTAACTGACTGCTGTTGACTGGAAACAAGGACTGACTAAAAAGGATTATCCTCACTGTTTAACACTTTCAGGGACAGCGGTTACTACAGTGGACAGTTTATCATGTTATCATTATTAGGCATTGAAAGGCTTAATATGAGGTCGTCATAAATTGTAGCCTGTGACTAATTTCAGAATCCAAAACTGATCGTATCAAGTTTTTCAGCAATATTATCCCCGTTTTGTTAAGACATATGAAATAAATGTCTGTGTGTAAATAAAATAAGCTTTGAAAACTAAAATAAATAAATACATAAAAAACACAATAAAACAAAATAGACACGACAGTATGCTGGGTTGCAAAGCTAAAAGAAAACACCTGCTATGCTAGCTTTCCGTTTCCAGATATTAATAGTACCAGACATATGAAATAAATGTCTGTGTAAATAAAACAAGCTTTGAAAACTAAAATAAATAAATACATAAAAAACACAATAAAACAAAATAGACACGACGGTATGCTGTGTTGCAAAGCTAAAAGAAAACACCTGCTATGCTAGCTTTCCGTTTCCAGATATTAATAGTACTGACCTATTGGGAGCTGCACACACCTCTCACCGGACTGCTTCAGTTTTTCAGACTGCAAAAAAAAAGTTGTCTCCGTAGCAGAATCACCCACGGAGGTGTTAAATGTACTTTCGAACCACAGTTCCCGACCCCGCTCAAAATTGAGACGTGAAAAAAAAAGACCTGTAGGTGCAATTAAAATCCACAAGATGGCGGTGTGCACACGTTCCAGTCGCCACTGTGGATTTAAACCGCAAACAACCAGAAACCAGTTTGACATTAAAAAAAAAGTGCTATTGCAGATATATTTACACATTAAGTTGTCTCCATAGCAGAATCACCCACGGAGGGGTTAAATGTACTTTCAAACCACAGTTCCCGACCCCGCTCAAAATTGAGACGTGAAAAAAAAGATGTGTAAACGCAATTAAAATCCACAAGATGGCGGTGTGCGCATGTTCCACGTGAAAAAAAAAGATGTGTAAGCGCAATTAAAATCCACAAGATGGCGGCGTGCGCATGTTCCAGTCACTATTGTGGATTTAAACCGCTAACAACCAGAAATCAGTTTGACATGAAAAAAAAGTGCTATTGCAGATATATTTACACATGATAAGGACAATTCGGTATCGTCGGAAAGTTTTATTTTAGGCTCTTTTATTTCATCTGCGAATCTGCGCCCACGTTCTTCACCGTACAGATTTTTCGTCCTTTTTCTTCGGTGAAAAAAAAGATGTGTAAACGCAATTAAAATCCACAAGATGGCGGTGTGCGCATGTTCCAGTCACTATTGTGGATTTAAACCGCAAACAACCCGAAACCAGTATGATTATATATTTTTTTTTTAAAGTGCTAGTGAAGATATATTTACACATGAAAATGACAATTGAGGTATCATCGGGAAGTTTTATTTCAGGTTCTTTTATTTCATCTGCGAATCTGCGCCCAAGTTCTTCACCGTACAGATTTTTCGTCCTTTTTCTTCTTTTTTTTTGGACACGGTAGACACTTTTGTGGGTGTTCCGATGTGTGTGAGCCAAGAAGAGATGAGACAGACTCAGACGGATTAGAAACACACATGAAAAAGAATCCAGTTGAGTCTGAAAGCAAATACACACTTGTGTGTGTGTGTGTGTGTGTGT